AGACGTGTGCTCTTCCGATCTGCCAAAAGAGAGACGAGGGACAAGATTGAAAAAAGGGACAAGATTGAAATTTGCGAAAAAGAAGACGACGACGACGATATAGCAGACCAAAGAGACCATACAACTTTGAAATTTTATGAAAAAGAGCGAAGAAAAAGACAGCAACAACAACAGCGACGAAATTATAAATTATAGACGAAAGAGGACAAGATTGAAATTTTGCGATGAAGATGAGGACGACGACAATGACGACGACTTATCTGAATGACATAAAATCGGGTAAAAAAATGCATACACTTTATGCACTTATGCATCAAATGCACTTATGGACATCGCTATTACAGCATTGTGATTGGAAAGATATAGATTTTTTCACAAAATTAGGCATTTACCGATAATATCCATATATTTGAAGAAAATAATAATTTATTTCTACAGAATTGTTATCCGTCCGGTAAAGAATACACTGTAGCGTCTTTGTTAAGTACAAAAATGTCTCCTGATCGTCATGTAGCAAAAAAATATACTTGGCGGGAGACGCTACCGCGTCTCCTAATTCATAATCTTGTACCTTTTTAATTATTAACTTTAAATAGTATAAATAATAATAATTGAAAAATGAGTATGTTTGATCATTGTTACATCAATCTTTTCAAATAAAGCAGTGTTACAATTTGTGCATAATTTTTGTATATTATTAATAAATAAATAAATTAATTAATTAATTTTATTTATTTTTAAATTAATTTATTCTTTACGTAGCACAAAGAAAGAGAGAGAGAGAAATACACAAAGGAGGGGTGTCAATAAGGCCGTTTTTTGGACCACGTCAGAATCGCTCCAAACTGTGGTATTTTCTTCCTACCGATGTAGCTCACAACCTCCTAGAACCGTTTGCTGTCCGAGCAATTAGAGTCTGAGAACGGGCAACTTGAAATCTCAAAAATCAATGGAGCACTGAGGAGTATCAGTTGTAGCAACAGATTCAGTACTGATAGTACTTAAAGTGCTGCTCGTACGATTGCTCATAATGCGGTCGGA